CTATCAGTAATGAAAGCATTTTCAAAAATCTGTCATAGTAAATTGGAATGTATTTACCAGACATGCTGTGCATAAAAATATATTGACATTACAGTAAGAAATGGGCAAAAGGCCCTATGCTTGCAGTAATGAAACTTTTTCCAAAAATTAGTCATGGGAAAGGAGAATGTTTTTTGCAGACATCCTTTTCCAAACCTCATATTGAGTACAATAAAGATTATATTTGAATATTTGTAAGATACATCATCAGTAAGGAAGGAGAAAAAGAGCATTGCTTGCATGAAAGAAAGCATTGCAAACATTAATGTTAAAATTGTTAAATAATTAAGAATAAGTGCAGTGTGTCTAAAACAGGTCTGGCATGTACAACACAAGATTCAATTCAAATCAGTTTGCATAGTGTATCCAATACTGTGTTTACTCTGCATTGCATGGCACTCAAAGTACTTTGTAAGGCGGTCAAATTATTTTTGATATCTTCAATGTGAACATTACAAATCATCAATTCAGCAGTGAACTTCTGGGCGGTGAAAGTATTCAATACATTTGGTTCTGGGTTTCCTAAATAAACAAAGGTAAATTAGTAAACTATTTTTTTTATACAGACATGAATGCATGCAAGCTTGCATGGATAGATGCATGTATGCACATGTGAGTACTTACCCCCACTAGTGCTGTTGACAACATCTTCATCCACAGGCATAATGTGCAAAATATCATCATCAGCAATTTCTATATGTTCATCATGCGTGTCATTTGTTGGAGTTTCTTCCAAAATTGTTTCCTCTGCATTTCTCTGTCGTTCTCCTGTGTGTATGAAAGATAACATTTAGATATGTAGCATGGAAGTTGTCTACTTCTTCATGATATATAAAGTTACCTATTAAAAATAAAAAGAGACAATACATTCCTGAATAGACAGAGCACAGGCAGTAGCATTTTCCAAATATTACACATAATCTAAATCACATCCCATAAAAAAAGATTTTAAGGAAGGTGCAATACTCACCTTTTCTTAATAATTTTCGGATTCGCTTAAACTGATCCGCCTCCCTCAACTTTAGATCAGACCATCTTTTCCTCAATTGGTCCTTGGTGCGTTTTATCCCGAACTTTTGCCACAGGTATTTCATGGCCTTCCCCATTATTGCATCTTTTCTGCGATTGGTGTTCTTGTAATGTTGCATCTGGCAGTCATAATCCTTCTTTAATAATATTCGCACCATCTCAACCATTTCCTCAAAGGTCATGTTGCTTGCCTTTCTTTTTTTCTTTGGTATTAATGCTGTTTCACTTTCTTGCTCCTGGTGAGCTTGATACTCCTGATGGTCTTGTTCATGCACCTATTGTTCGTTTAGCACCTGCTGCTGCAATCGTTCGTGCTCACATGCGGACTTCTCCATCCTTTACTGCTCCGTATTGTAGTCACAAGGGGCAGGAGGAGGGGGAGGGCGGTCTTTATAGCGTGAAAGGGCGCCAAAAAAACACGTAAATTCGCGTGCACGAACGGAAGCTGTCTATCTGAGGAAGCTGTGAAATGTACAGGATTAAAAAAACAAATGAAAAAAAACACATTTTATGTAACACAGATATATATTTTTATAATTTCTACCTGCAAATACTCAGTCTTCAGCACGCGTGATATTGCTACAAATGTTTCTGGGATTATACGACCCAAGGACTGTGCGGATATACCAGTTGAAAACTTGAGGTCCTCATAGGATCTTCCGGTTGATAGGTAGCGGAGGGTTGCAATGAGTCTTTCTTCGGCACTGATGGATTTGCGCATGTAAGAGACTTTTTTCGTAATGTGCGGTGCAACCATGGTTAGGAGCAGCTGAAAAGACTGCTGGGACATTCGCAGATAATTTTTGAAGTCGTCAGGATTATTCTCCTTCAAATTACAAAGCAGGTTCATGTGTGAAAAATTAGCACGTTTCAGAAGCCAGTCTTTGCACCATAGTCTGCTCTTCCTTGCTTTCCTTTTTTTTGTTGTTTTTCCTTCTCCTCCAGTGCTAACACAGCAAGCGCTATAAGGGCCAGTTTTGTTTTGCGGGTTAATTTGGGCATTTTAATACAATAAATGAAGAAAATTTGTAGGAACGAAACGTTGCTGATGTCTTGCTGGCAGATTACGAAAAGAGTGAGGGACAAAAAGGTCACCAAACGACATCATTTCCGAGGACAAAACGACAGCATTTCCGCCCAAAAAACGACATCATTTCCTGTAGAGGTGACAATTACAGAGGATTTATCTGCCGATTTTCATTCTAAATGGTGTTCTAATTGGCTGTACGGCCGACCGATTTTTCGCTTAACAGAAGAAAAATTGAGAGACTTTTTACAAATCTATGGCCTGCTTTATTGTCTGGATGTGTTTCAAGCTGTGTGGGTGTGTGTATCATCTATGGCTTTGATCTGCAAGATAGACACTTTCTTTGTGGTCATTGAGGCAAAAGGGGTTGGCTGGTTCTTCAGCTATTATCTTGAGATAAATTAAGGAGACTGTTGTTCAAGCCTATGCCATTAAGGCTCCACATTTTTGGGCTACAGCTCATTATGTTGGGGTGATTAGCATGTCCCTCATGTCCCGGGCTTTTCTTTATCAGGCAGACATCTTGTACAGTGGCTTCATGGTCGTCTGTCCACATATTTACCAGGTACTACAAGGTGGGTATCCCTGCATCTTAAAATGCATGTTTTGGCCACAAAGATTTGCAGACAGCAGTTTGATCTTTTTTTTTTGGGGGGGGGGGGGTTGTTATATGTGTTGTTTCTTCTGGTGTTCCCAGCTCTCGATGGTCACTTCTTTAGGGTGTCCCTAAGGTCAAGATTACTGCATCCTTCAATGAATGAATGGGAACATTGATTTTTTTTTTTGTACTAACTGTAAAATCCCCTTCTTTGAGTTCGATAAAGGACACGGTTCCCACCCCTTTGTGTTTTTTGTTTTCAGTACTGCTTCAAAACTTACTGAGCTGCCTATAGCAGGTGGGGGTTAATCACCACCAGTAGGGGCTATCCTTAGGTTGTGCTTTGTTTTTATGTCTAGTGTCCTACTCTTGGAGGCGGCACTATAACCCTACGGTCAAGATTCCTGATTGGGCTTCAATGAATGAGAACATGTATGAAATATAAAGAAAGTGTTTTTTCCATTTTGGCTGCAAAACGACCTTTGTAAAGGGGGTCTCCCATGTAACTTCCCTCGTCTGCTTACTTGTAACTCAATGGTTTCTGAATCTGGTTCTCTCTGCACTTTAGAAACAGCTGTTTGTAGCCATCACTTCTGCAAGGAGACTGACTGAACTGGTAGCCTTATGCTGGGTATACACAGACCGACTTTTGGTCTGTGTGTACTGCTGTCTGTAGGGCTGGTCCTATGTTTGTATTTTTTCAAGGTTCAGAATGTCCAGTCTTCTGCAGATGCAGCTGTTGGTCACAAGGTTCTTGCAACAGTATTCCAAAATTGGGTCTGTTGGCCTTTGTTTTTGCTGGGCCTGTTGGCACAGTTCACTCTACCCAGTTATTGTCCACCCTTCTCATTCCTTGCTTGGGGATGTTCCAGGGTATAAGAATACTTTGCCTCAGTCTTGTACTGTATGATTAAGATAAGACGAATTTTATATTCCATATCTTGGAGTACAGTATGGGACACAGGCCATCCTCTCGTCCACCCTCTGGTTACTCTGCATTGTTTGTATATTGCTTGTGTTATAGGGGAGGCACCCATGAGGAGTGTCCTCAAAAGCTTGCCTGTGTTCAATCACCTGAAGGTTTGAGCCTATACAGGATCTATGGATGCTTTTTGCCTGTGTCCTGTACTATACTCCAAGATAAGTATTTAGAGGTAAGTCAAAATTCCTTTTTTTTGCTTCCTTTTGGTGCAGTACATACATATACAATTGAAAGCATTTTTTATATGTTTGATAAGTGCAAAAGAATTCCATTTATCTTTCCAGAATTCATCTCACCTGATCAATTCCTGTGCCTGTGCTGCACTGTTATCAGTTATATTATTCTGAGGAGCACACGATCCCACACATCTATGTTTGTACAAGAGAACATGGAGAGTTCCCAGCAGTCTATTCCTCTTTCTGTTGTCCTGATACAGTAGATACAGTTAGCAATGTCATCCTAGAACTGGAAAGGTGTTCAGAATCACCAGGTGAAAATAAAGGGAAAAAAAGCCTGTTAAAACCTTCCTGCTGGCTGCATGCATATATGTGGCCTCTTGGCGGTGGGCCTTAACACCGAGCGGCCACATATGCGGCCCTTTATAAACAACTTACTGTGCTGAGAGCGTGTTTCAAGCACGTTCCTTGCCGACGGGGATCTGTAAGCTCCCAATGCATAATTGCGTTCGTGAGTTTTCTTTCATGTGGCCACTGCGACAGCCAATCACGGAGCTTACATCACCCAAAGGCCCACCCCCCAGCTTTTAGAACTCTTAAAGGGCCAGGAGGCAATTAGCAGGAAGATATTAATTAATGTAATTGCCACATCTGGTGGACTGCAGTATATTACAGTTTTGTTTTTTGGTTATAGATACACCTTATGGTTCACTCTAATGCTTTTTGTTTATAACATCAACTATTTCTCCTCCAGATTGACAATTCAGCAGCTGTTCAACTGTGATTTGTTTACCAATGAAAGACAGAGAATGCATAGAATTCGAAATAATATCTTAAAGGACAATCATAAGGGATTTTGAACTGAAATTACAACTGCACTAAATATTTTTTTTTACACTTTTTGATATACATTGGATTTATTCAAGATTATACTTTGTCACTTATGAATATTCTTTGAGATGTTTTATGATTGATGTTTATTGATAGACTCCACAGATATGATTTTATGTACTACAGTGAAATTGACACATGAAATATTTTGGTGCACAAGGTTGGCTTGCAGTGGGTGGAAACAGCTACTGAACTGTGTCTGTGTATACTTTACATCTTCCTCAACAAACCCAACTGATCATTGCCTCTGTCTTCTAGGTTGTTGGCTCCTCTATGCCTTTAATTGGAGACCAGCAAGAAGAAGATCGTCAGCTTATAGCAGAATTGGTGGTTAGTAAGATGGCCCAGACTCTGCAGAGCGGCTCATCTCCCAGCCGCACTGTACATGGACAGCAGCCCCAGGTAGAAGAAGAGAGCATTCTTCATTTTTTTTCTATGTACTCCACCCACATGTCTCCCTCACATTTGGATTTGCTAATATGCATCTTCTGTTCTAGGCTCAGCCTGTTCACTCTCGTTCTCCCACTCCTGCACAACAAAGACCTCCTCCACAAGGTACATGGAATTTTTTTCTTTTTGTACTAACAGCTAAGTCAGCCACCAAGAACTAAGCCTATTTCACCATGTATTATATCAATTGCTTGCTCTGGATTATTCAGTAATAATAACTAAACTACAGCATTCTAGTTTGAATTTAAAGGTGCCTGCATTCACTAGAATGTATAGACCACCCTCTCTAAAGGAGTGTTCAAATTAATATGGAGTCTTAAATGCCCTGACATGTTAGTGACATTATTTCCACATACCGTGTCATCTATTCACACTTTTCATTAGTAGGGTGCCTTGCTTTCTCTTTGCCAAAATCTTTTAGAACTGATACAATTGCAAGCAGTGAAAATGGCAAATGGCAGACAATTTAAATACTTAGCTATTTTGACAGTTAGGCCTGTTTCAAAGCATTTGTGGAGCTAAAGTACTATTCAACTTCAGTTTGTAAATGTTGAGCACATATCCTAATGGGAGTGTTCATTGCCACTTTAAGCAAGCAGATAGCAGGCTTCAGTACTGCTTGAAGCTCATTGAAAGCCTGCTGAAGACTGCTAGCAGCTCGTTTAAAGTGACAAACAGGAGCTTAAGGGTGCTTTAAAGGCTCAGAGAAAACTGCACAAAGCTGGCCAAAAGCTTTGCAAAGGCTTGCTCAAATTTCAGAATAGCTCCCTGTTCACACTGTTCTTCTGCAAGCTGAAGCCGTGTGAAACAGGCCTTAGCAAATAATGGTTAAACTATTGTGGCGGTCCATTAATGATTGTTTTTCTTGTTTCCAAAATATGACTGGAAATAATAAAGATTTGGGTAATTATTATGTTTAGTAAAAATTAGCAAATAAACACAGTTCCTGGAAGCAAACGTCTATGCACTATTACATCACATAGAGGTTTAAGCCTAACTCCAGTCAAATTCTTTTTTTGTGTTTGAGGATGAGGATGGGGGAGGGGGTAGGATAATTTTTTTTTCAGCTTTTTATTTCTCTCTCTGACCTCCTATTGTAGAGAATTTACTTTACTTTCCCAGTCACGCCCGCAAAAGAAATGGGAGTGTGGCTGTCAGTGGAACAGGAAATCACAGACATAAAAACATTGTCCATAGGTTTACCCTTTGCTCAATCTACTAAAAATGTGTGTGTGTGTCATGTGATTTTTCATCACATCCTGGCTTGAGAAGTGAGAAAACCTCCCAAATAAAAAATACAGACTTTAGACCTTCCTTTGTCTCCAAAAGCAAACAAAAAGTTGGGAGCAGATACCTGGGTCCTCCTTCTAAATGCCTTAAGGGGGACATGTGAGAAACAAATACAGTGGGTACAGAAAAGAATCACCCCCCTTTAAAATAATCACATTTTGTTGCTTTGCAGCCTGAAACAAAGACAGACACCACTTTTATTTTATCCAGCTTTATTTACTCAGTGTAACTTATAACATCCAAGCAAAAGATATAACACCAACATGTCAGGAAAAAAAAATCAAAAACAGAATCACTGAGTTGGAAAAAGGATCATGCCCTCCTAAAAATGACTTGTAAACACCATCAGCTGTAGCTAATCACCTTCTCAATGGCACATAAAGCCATATAACTTTCAACTGTGATCAGCTGTGGTCATTTTGATTAGCTCAGCATAAAAAGAGCTTTCAGTCCCAGGTAGTGCAACTGAAGCAAACAAACAACTATGGGTGGCAAGGCACTGTCAAAATATCTGTGGGATAGAGTTGTGCACAGTCAGGAGATGGATACAAAAACATTTCAAAGGCATTATCTATGCCTAGAAGCACAGTGAAGTTTATTATTAAGAAGTGGAAGGTATTTGGTACAACACAACCCCTCCCTGGATCAGGACATTGCTCCAAACTGGATGAAAGAGCAAGGAGGAATTTATGACAGTGGTCATTGTGTGCATGTGACAACGATATCACAAATTCTCTCCACAAATGTGGCTTGTGTGGGAGGGTTGCAAGAAAAAGACACTCCTCAAGAAAGTTCACACACAGTCACGACTGAGCTTTGCTAAACTATACCTTGATGATTTTGAGGCCACATCGAAAAGGTGTTATGGTCAGATGAGACTAAAATTGAAATATTTGGCCTCAATACTAAACGATATGTCCTCCGGAAATCCAATACAGCTCACCATCCAAATAACACCATTCCTACAGTAAAGCAAGGAGGTGGTAATATCCTGTTGTGGGGGTGTTTCTCTGGGACTGGATCATTTGTTAGGATAAAGGAAAAATGGATGGGGAAAAATACTCAAATTCTTGAATCTGCTCTCCTCTGCCAGAAAGTTGTCAATAGGAAGGTTTAATTTCCAACATGACTATGATCCAAAGCACACAGCAAAAATGACCACACAGTGGTTGAAGGAGAAAAGGATGAATGTCCCTGGATGGCCCAGTCAGAGCCCAGACTTAAACCTCGTTGAAAATATGTGGAATAACTTGAAGACTGCAGTTCCCAAATGGTCACCATCAAATTTAACTGAACTTGAGCAGTTCTACAAAGAAAGTTGGCAAATATTGCAAAGTCTAGATGTGCAAAGTTAGTAGAGACATATCCCAACAGACTAAAGGATGCATTTAAAGTAAAAGGTAGTTAAACAAAATACTGACAAAAGGTAGTTCAACAAAATCCTTTTTCCAACTCAGTGTGACAGACCCAACCGGGACAGGGTCTTTTGGAGGAGACTGCAGGCTAGCCTCTTGCCTACTGCCTATTGGCCCTGGTGTTTGAGGGGGCTCTATTCTTTGGGAGGTGGGTGCTTGGGGGACCTTTTGGAGTAGTTTTATTTTGGATTCAGGTCTATGTTTCCTCAAAACACAGACTCTAAGAATTGGAGGACCTGGATATAGATTTTGGGCCTCTGTGCCCAAACCAGCATTGACTACTTCAACTCCCCCTATACTCAGAGCAGATGTTAATATCATCAACTCAAAACAACCTGATCCTGAGGTCTCTTGCTGTAATCTGTTTACTAAGGTGTTATGTGTGTATTTGTTTCATTGTTAACTGAGTTTATTGAGTCACCTGTTGTTTCTGTTTGTTGGCTAGTCCTCCTGGAGGTTCCTACATGATGGGATTAATATCCCAGTGTCAACTTTACCTCCTTAGCTAATCAGGATGGGATGTTTATCCCAATGTGTAATATTTGTTTTTATTATTCATGTGGGGACTGCCCCTATTTCTGAAGTGTATAAAAACCTGTATTTCTGTTCAATAAATAGTTCCAGTTGCACCTAAGCTAGTGTCTTCTAGTCCTTGGGTGCAATGCCCAAGCTATAATACCTTGGTCCTGTGCCCCAGCAGTGAGGAAGCAGTTCTCTGACAGAAGCACTTAAGCACGGTGCCAGGCGGTCCTTCACCATTGGTTGGCAGCAGTGGGATACTCCCTACAGACTTGGATATCCAAACCACCACCAGGATCTCCAGTCCGGTTAACAGAAGAGGAGAGGAACAGATAGCTGCTGCTGCAAAAGAGAAATTCAGAAGGAGGCTGCAAGAGATGCAGATACAGCACAGGGGACCAGTGCCAGAGCAGGTCCTGCTGGGATGGTATGATTCCATCCGCCGGAAACTCTGTAAGGAAGCGCTAGACTGTGAGCAGTGTCACCAGGGAAAAATCCTCTCCTCTATCCAGGAAAGGTACTGATCGCAGTAAGAAGTGTAGGTGCTGTTATTGGGCGAACAGCTGCACAAGGAGTGGACAGCTGAGTTAAGCAGGCTGGTCTGGGCAGAGATGTGACTGAACAAGAGCTATAAACCCTCAGGAGGAACCAGCCGACAGCTCTGAAATGGGGCAGAGTAACAGTGCTCTTTGCTCACCTCCATTCGCAACTATGGAAGTGGAGCTTTTATGGCAGATGCAGCAAGTGTTGACTCACCTTGAAAACCTGTTTCTGCACAGAACAAGCTTGGATGGAGGAATGCGTCTTTCCATTAGCCAGATGAGGGTATGGGAGATGGAGCATCTCCCCAGCAGCAGTTCAAGAACCCAGAAGAGAAGAAAGCTGTCCTCACTCCCCAGCCACAGATCCCAGAAAACTGAGCTTCCAACAAAAGTGCTGGCAACAGGGCAGAGCTTTGCAAGCCCCTGCACAGCACCGGTAGCATCTCCTTGATTCCAAAGACAGGAGATGGTGAGATTTTATCTTTAGCCACCAGAGACTGGGGATTTAATAGACTTTTCTGCTGAGGAGGAACAACCCAGTGAGCCTCCAGCAGAATAGCTGGCATCGAGGCAGAGCATTGCTGACCTCTGCCTACAACAATTGGTTGCCCTGGAGGATTTGTGATAGGCCACCAAACTTTCATTTTACTTCCCAGCGAAAGAGCTGGCATCAGGGCAGAGCACCACTGACCTCTGCCCAGCACCCACAGCACTTCCGGAGCTCCAGAGAGCCAGAGTGGGCAGCTCTTCTTCCCAGCAGCAGGCCAATACAGATGAACTCCTATCCCCAGCTGAAGCACTGGCAGAGTACCACCAGTCTGTGCCCATACGCAGTTCCTCAAAAGCACTGGCAACAGGACAGACAGTCTACTACCTCTGTCCAACACCTACAGCGACAGGGGAACCTCAGGGAAAAGTAGTCAGCATTTCATCTCCCCAGCCGCATTTCCACAGTTCGGGATTGGAGGTGGTCATTTTTGAACCCCAGCGGCAGACCCACAGTCTGAGAGAGGAGGTGGTCTTTCTTCCTCCCCAGTGGCAGTTCCACAGTTCGGGAGAGGAGGTGGTCATCCTTCCTCTCGAGCGGCAAGCCTGGGCGAGAAAGTGGTTGTCTTCCCTCCCCAATGGTCAGCCAGAGTAGAGGATGTGGGGTCCACAGCTGAAG